ATTTTTCTCTTTCTGTGTTTCATGGCATATATGTATTTATGTGTGATGTACACATGTGTATGTTTGCTTGCATGTGTGGGTATGTGTGTGTTCAGGTGCACATTCACACATGTGCACATGCTTGTGGAGACCTGCTGTTGACACAGGGCATCCCCCTCATTACTTTTCACTTTGTTTACTGAAGCAGGTGACATCTGGGGAAAATCAGAGGGCACTTAGGTGCAATGGAGGTTTTCTCGCCTCTGGAGAGCAGAGATTAGGAGGCTAGAGCTCAGAGTCATCCACAGCCCCTAAAGCTGCCATCAGCCGGTGGCTTCCGGTTCCTGTCTCACAAACATGAATGAATGAATGACAACTTTCACAGACAGTGGAGGAAGGAAGCAGGGCTGCCATAGAAGGAGCAGGCTCCAAACAAGGCTGACCACTGAGGGTCCCGATGAGGGTGTCTAAAGCTTACTGGACTTCAGCGTGGACGACTGCTCAGTCCAGTTGTCCTGCCATGAGGTGTCCATTAGTCTCTCCAACCCTGTGTCTGCACAGCAGTCTCAGGTACACCTTCCAGGGCCAATGAAGCCTCTGGTCACATGTGCCTTCTAGACAGCTGTGTTCACTAGAATTGTTACATAAGAGGAGCGGCCAGAGCCCAAGCCAGTGCCCCTAAATGGCCTCACGGCAGGATAAAAACTTCCCTCACAAACAAGCCGAGCTGCTTCCAAGGACCAGAAACAGAAACTCTCCATTTTCGAGGTCCCCACATCAGAGCTGCCTGACGTGTTCCTGTCCCCTGTTCTTATAACAGGCTCTGTCACTGCAGAACATGGGGCTCACCAGTTACAGCTAGTCTTCACCAGGGAGCCCCTGGCTTTGCCTCCAGAGTGCAGGGATTATGTGGTGCTGGGGTCCAGTCTGGCCTGCATGCCTGAGGGGCAGGGACTCTACCTGCTGAGCCATCTCCCTAACCCAGTTTCCTGATTTCTACTTGGAGTATTTTCCTCTCCTTGGTTGTGAGTCCTCTCCTGGCTCCTCCAGCAGACGTTCAGGTCCCTGTCGAAGGTCTTGTCCTCCACACTGGCCTCTCCTGTCAAAGGTCTTGTCCTCCGCACTGGCCTTTCCTGTCAAAGGTCTTGTCCTCTGCGCTGGCCTCTCCTCTCTTGCTCCCACAGCGCTCTTGTTGGGGCTTCATCATCAAAAGCTTTGTTTCCATTTTCAACGAGGTCTGTTTTTTCCCCTGAGATGTCTTTGATGTGTGTCCTCTCCAGAAGTGCATTATCTAATTTTCAAATGTTTGGAGGTTTCCATCTGGCCTCGATTCCCAGCATCAGGTTGCTCTGGTCTGAAACAGTACTGTGTAGTTTGTTTTAAATTCGTTAGTGTTTTCTGGTCCAGTATGTAGTTTGTCTTGGTGGTATTTCTGTATGAATCTGAGAAAAGTGTGCACACCCTGCTGCTGGTGGATAAAAAAGTCTATAGATGTCAATTCATCCAGTTGATTGACAGTGCTGTTCAGTTCAATTACACCCTTGTTGATTTTCTACCTGCTGGATCTGTCAGTCACTGATAAAGGGGTACTGAATTTACCAAGTACAAAAGAGAATCCATCTACTTCTCCTTACCAGGCCTATGAGTTTTTGCCTCATGTATGTTGGCTCTCTGATTCTAGGCACATATACATTAATGATTGACAGGTTTTCTTGGAGACTTGACCCCTTTATCATTCTTTAATGATTCTCATTATCCCTGGTCATTTTCTTATTCTGAAATCTATTTTATCCAAAATTAATATTAACAGCTGTTTTGGCTGTCTTTTGGCTAATGTGAACATGGTGTTTGTTTCTCTGACCTTTACACTCTTTTTGTGTTTTATATTTAGAGCAAGTTTTTAGATGATATTATTCAGATTCTACTGTCTTTTATGAGCCATTTAGACCATGCCCCTCTAAATTGACTCTGAATGCGTTTGGACCAATATTGTGGTGATCTACCATTGTAGAACTGTTTTGCCTTCACTACACTTGACCTTTATTTAGTTTTAGTTTTTCCTCTTTTTTCTAGTGTATCTACTGTTAGTTAATGATTTTATAATATTCCATTTCTCCCCACTCTCAGACTCTCAGAGGCAGACCCTAAAGTATTTTTTACAGTCACTCTGGAGTGTGGAGTTCATATTTAGAGCAAATGAGTCCACTTCCCAATAGCACTACCTTGATTGTAGTTAACAGCCGTGAACAGATTTCCCTAGTTTTTCTCTCCAGACCTTACACGTCACACTGCCATCATTTGCTTCCCCGTCTATTGCTGTAGACCAATCAGATCACTGTAACTGTGGCTTCGTAGCAAAGACTGTTCTCTGATAGATTAGCAATATGGGAAACTAAAGATTTCAGTTTGTTCTTTATACCTAAAACTAAAATTCTGACCTCTATCACATTTTCTTCCTTTTTAACATTTCAAGTGGGATGGATCTATTTGTTTTGAAAGTTAAATAAAACATTGCTGTGTACATTTTAAAAAATGAAGCTACTCATGGTTCTAGGTCACAGTGCCCATTGAATTACCAACATAAAAGTCACATACATGTTACATGGACAAACTTTATAGATTCAAAATGAAGAGTTTTGTGAGTTGTGGTCAACTTGTGGTAAACATGTCTGAGATGCCATGTGGAAATACTGCACCAGTGGGCTGGAGTTGGGTTACCTCCACAGTACGTCTACAACGGAAAACAAACAAACAAACAACTCTAGCTGCTGAGCCCCACAGGAAAATCTGACCTCATTATACACAATCCACCTAATCTGTGTTACCTAAGAAGAAGAATTTCGTTCTGATTAACTCACTTGGTTTTTATCTGAGTTTCTATGCATACATTCTCTCTGCGCTCAGGGGCAGGGCCAGTAACAACTTCTATACCACTCAGCAAGACAAGCGCAGAGTGAGAGTGATGGACGAGGAAGTGTTCCTGAGTTAGGTGTCGGCTCAGGTATTTGGGTGAGGAGTCTGTTCCAAGGCAGAGTCAGATCTCTGGTGACATGCTGGCATACCACGGCTTCTTCTGAAGCTTCTCTTTGTGTACTTGTAAATGTGGCCCATCTTGGGAACCAGGCCAAGGACGGAGGCCCTCGCCTAGGCCTTTCTTGACCAGAAAATTTGGGCCAAAATTTTTTCTGATAATAGTTAGACTCTTAAGAAGGAATTAATCCTCTGCAAAATCTGACCATTTCTTTACAATGTTCAGGGGTGGTGTGGGAGCTACCTCTTCAGCACCTCTGTTTGTTTGAGCTACATGGTGTGGAAACATCCATTCCTTAATCAAATGGTGCTCATCTGTCTCCCAGCCAAAACCAACTTCTCCAGGTGCCATCTAAAGAGCAAGCCAAGTCCAGTGCTTACACACTTGACCTCTGGTGCAGCCATGTGGACACATCGTATTCCACTCTTCATGGATTCAGTTGACAGATGTTTACTCGGCCCAACATTAAGTACAGAACCCCACCCCCTAAAACCAAGGCAAAGGCAGTCATGTTGCAAACATCTTGAAAACAGCTGATTAAATTTCATGTTGGTATAGATCAGAGCTGCTTGTGTGTGCTACCCATAGGCATTAAAAACTGTGTTTACAAGGCGGGATGCTTCAGGCCTGCCATCCCAGAACTCGGGAGGCAGGCACAGGAAGACTGCCACAGCTGGAGGCCAGCCTGACCTGCCTAATGATTCCCAGGACTGCCAGGCCTGCAGTGAGACCTTGTCTCAAAACCCAAAGCAACTGAGAAGCTTCTGTAAAGCAAAGGACATGATCAACAAGACAAAACAGAAGCCTACAGAATGGGAAAAGATCTTCACCAACCCCACATCTGATAGAGGGCTGACCTCCAAAATATACAAAGAACTTAAGAAATTGATCATCAAAACAACAAATAATCCAGTAAAAAATGGGGACCTAAACAGAGAACTTTCAACAGAGGAATCTAAAATGGCTGGAACACACTCAAGGAAAGGCTCAGCATCTTTAGCCATCAGAAAAATGCAAATCAAAACAACTCTGAGATTCCACTTATACATGTGAGAATATTGGCCAAAATCAAAATTGCTGATAACAACTTTTGCTGGAGAGGATGTGAGGTAAAGGGAACACTCCTCCATTGCTGGTGGGAGTGCAAACTGGTACAGCCCCTTTGGATATCAGTATGGTGATTTCTCAGAAAATTAGGAAACAACCTTCCTTAAGACCAAACAATACCACTTTTGGTTATATACTCAAAGAATGTTCAATCGTACCACAAGGACATGTGCTCAACTATGTTCATAGCAGCATTGTTTGTCATAGTCAGAATCTGGAAACAACCTAAATGCACCTTAACCAAAGAATGGATAAAGAAAACATGAAATATTTATACAATGGAGTACTACACAGTATAATAATAATAATAATAATAATAATAATAATAATAATAATAATGACATCTTGAAGTTTGTGGGCAAATGGATGGATCTACAAAACATCATATTAAGTGAGGTAACTCAGACCCAGAAAGAAAAATATCATATGTACTCATAAGTGGTTTTTAGACATAAAAAAACAGCCTACAATTCACAATGCCAGAAAACCTAGACAACAAAGAAGACCCTAAGAGAGACATATACGTATCTAATGTACATGGGAAGTAGAAAAAGACAAGATCTCCTGAGTAAATTGGGAGCATGGGGACCGTGGGAGAGGGTAGAAGAGGAGAGAGGATGGAAGGAGAAAAATATATAGCTCAATAAAAACAATAAATAAATAAATAAATTTTAAAATCAGTGAAAACACGAATGTGAATTTAAAGAAAGTGTTAAACTAATAAAATCTTAGTTACTAATTGTGTGTGGAGAGCGCGATGGGAAACGTGGAGCGCTATTGTTCAAATCTGCCTCACAGTTCAGTTTAGTCCCAGGGAGGATGTCACAATGGTAGCAGTATGAACCAGTGGAGTCTCTGTGGTAATCTCATCTCTTTCCTCTAGGATTTTCAGACTGTCCTACCATCATTTGACCTCTTCTCAAAGTATGGAAAACTATATTCGAAAGCTGGACAAATTGTATAAAGGTAGGTATTTTTGCTGAGTATGTCACAATGTATACAAAGTAAACAATCAAGAGAATGACTTAAGTGTCAGGTACTTTAAAATACTATAATCAGATTTCTGTAAGATAATATTCCATAAATTCCTTTCATTCTAATTTATTGGTTTTCAACACTTGATATTATTTCCCAAATATCTTTTCTAAAATGGACTAAAAATACATCAACAGAACTAACAGAATTCTGGGATAGTCATTATCTTTTAATTAAATGACATAGTAAAGATTTACACAGCACCTAAAAATATACCAGTGGTATCCAACAGGCTAAACTGTTTCTCAGTACTATATTAATACAGTGTAGTTAAAGTTTCTTTCCTTGGTATGTGCTTTATTTGAAGTACCAGATGCCTTGGGGGATGGGAGGAGTGTAGGGTCTCTGATAATTAGCAAAGTTTTCAGGATGGACAGGAAAAAAGACAAACAACTGAAATCCAAGCCACATGAGCTTTCAGTGATGTTATATTTATCACTCAGATGTTTTAGGATAAAAAAATGATTGCAGTCAAGCTAATATCATAGACAGTATTGTGGTAAGCTTTCACACAATGTAAGCAGGTATGAGATGAATGACAGTTGAAGGGGAAGGTCAAGAATAGGAAATGGGTGGGAAAATTGCCCAGTGTCCTCCTGGGCCAGCAGCTGAGGAAACAAACACACTGCTCTATTGGAAAAGACATAGCATACACAAAGCCTTCCCTACATTTGGTATTCATATTTCCTCTGCCACACACATCTTTGAAGGCTTCAATTTGGTTATTAATATATTAAAGACAGATACATATACTCACCGCTTAACTGTTCCAAAAGAATACATGAAAGGAAATGTAAAATATTCTAAATTAGTAGGAAAGTGTATATATGTATCAGCAAATAAAAACAGTGTCAAAGGTTCAAAGTTTTATTTCTATTGAATAGCAATGTATCTGTGAGCCATAAGATGTTGCATGTGTGTGTTCAACTTTTAATTCAAAGATTTATTAATTTTATTTATAATTATTTTATAAAGGAGTATTTCTTGTGTGACACTGTTTCTGGGAGACATGAACAGGCCTCTGTTTATGTCCGATGAGGGACTGATGACAGAAAAAAGTAATCACATCACCAAAGTCCACCTTTGTGACCCAGCGAGTTTATTGCATTGTGTATAGGAGAAGAAGTTACTTACAAGTGTGTGGACACCTCAAACACACCCGCATCACAGAGAGCACACCCCAACCTCAGTGACAGCTCATGAAAGATGCACCCCTGAAGCTCTCTGCAGGACTTGTAGGATAGATATCTCAGCTCAGTGGGATAGGGAGGCTACTCTACTTAGCAGTAGTTACTGCTTATATAACCTCTGGGAGGGAGGGTCTTTGTGAATCTGTTTGTCTTCAGGGACTTTCTGACCATTCTGAGTTGTTTACTTCCTGAGTCTTAAGGGACAGTCTTCTTTAGAACTTCCTGAGTCTTAAGAAGCTTCTGTCTAAGATGAAATGTTCTAATTCAGAGGAAATTACTAAATGACAATATTGGAACCAACTTAAATGCTCATTAATATATAGTAACTTCAATGAGAGCACATATGCTGTAAGTCTATGCTGTAAAAAGTGCTCACAAATCTTTACCTACTGATCTGACAAAGCACCTGCCTTGTATTTCTAAGGCCACATTTGAAGCCATTGTGCAATTTGATTACATAATAATGTATGTGTGTGCATGTGAACATATATACAGCATGTCTATTGAAACACATTTCTATGTACTCATATGTGAAATATGTGTATATACATTTATGTATTACAGAAATGATAATGGTGGCTATGTCTGGCTGGTAAGATTTTCAATAACTTTAATTTCCCCATATTCTGTTTTATATTTCTACTTTTTTTTGGTTGTTTTTTGGTTTTGTTTTATTTTGTTTTCAAGACAGGGTCTCACTGTGTAACCCTAGCTGTCCTGGAACTCCCTATGTAGACTAGGTATACCTCGAACTCACAGAGATCTGCCTGCCTATGCCTCTCCAGTGCTGGGATTAAAGGCATGCGCTACCACTGCCTGGCTCAGTTTATTTTTAAATTTACTCTTAATCAAACAAAGGAAGTGTTAAACTAAATTCTTCAGTAAGGCCTAATAGTTCTCCTTTACAATTACAAACACTGGGCCATTACAATTCTACTTAATCATGATAATTTAAAACAGTTATTTTTTATGAAGATAAAATACTTGCTAAATTATTTATAGTGAAAGATAAGAGCAAGAGTAACAAATGTTTCACATTGGCTCTAATTAAACTGGGCAATGTAAAGACACCAATGTGTGGCAGAATTTAAAGAAATGGTTGATGACTCCTTTTCATGTTTTAAGTATTTTGTGGATTGGATATATTATTACATTCTTTCATTTGCCTTTGTAACTGGTCATTTTTTTTATAGCTTTTATTTGTTTTCCAAGTCAATCTCACCTAAATTAGAATACCCTGGGCCCTGTCAGTGTTGTGGTGTCTTTTCAGCTGCATTCATTCCACTAGACAGGAATAAGTAGAGTGGAAAGACATTGTCATGAGAAGCTGAGATCATTGTTTGTATTTATGAATGGGGCCCCATGTGGCATGCGTGGGAGTCTTTCTGCATTGTGTTCTGATGAATATCCCCAGTCTTCTTTGAAATGGGCTTTGGTCCAGCCTGTCTTCCTGCTAAAATGTGGTTCCATTTGGAAGTCAAATGAGATGAGTTTTAATTAAATGTTTGGTTAGACATGAAAAGCAGTATACATTTCCCCTTCAGCAGATGAATGACTCAACACTTGAAAATGAAAAATAAGTCCAGTTGACGCCTGGGTTGGGAAAGGGAGAAATGGAAGCTTCCGTTGTCTTTGTACAGAAGAAACGGTATTCTAGCAACTAGGTGAGGAAGACAGACTGTGAAAGGGAAGAGTGATAAGCAAGCATTTAAGCTACACATTTGCCTGCTGGGAGTAAACATTTTAAGTCATTAAGAAAAATGATGAAGCCTAGCTATTCATATCAGCAGTGCATGAATTTGTAACTTTAAATCTAGTTGTCATGAGCTGGCAGAGAACCAAGTGAGGACACTTCTGTATCAGTCTGGTAAACTCCTCATACTGAAGACTCTGTCTGTCCTAAACCATCAGCTCTGGGATACCTGTGTTTTTCAGTAACTGAGGCAGAATGTTAGACATTTCATGTCCTAGTGACTCCTGTCTTCCAGGTTGCTAATCCGAATGTGCTGTCACAGACATCAGAGGGCAGGGAGAGTAAGCACAGTGTCCGAGAGCCAAGGCAGGGTCTTGACTTCCTAGTCAGGCACTGAGCCAACGCTAAGAGCGCCTGCGTAGAGAGTGTGAGAACTTGTTTTAACGAGGCGCTCTTCCTCTCTTAGTGGCTGCTTGGCTCTAGAGGAGAGAAGACGATGGAATGAGAACATGAGGTGAAGATGAAGTGAGCACGAACAGAAGATGCCACTGCCCAGGGGTTCAGGCTCTACCTACGTGGTGGTTGCACAACCTTGATCTCAGTTCTTTAACCTCTGTGTGCTCTTGTGAACTTCCCCTCCCTCTCCCTCCCCCCTCCCTCCCCCTCCCTCACTTCTCTTGCTCTCTTCCTCCTTCCCCTACTCCAATTCTTTCTCTTGCTCTTACCTTCTCATGTTCAGAAGAAAAGTTTAAAACCATCTCTGGTTCATTATAAAACTTTCTAGTTTGAAAGGAAAATACGAAGGAGGCTCTTATAAGAACTAATCAGATTTACTAATAAGCCAAACTCACTGTGATCAATAAATGATGACATTCATTTTACAGTTTCTGTGTATTGTGTGGGGGATGTGACATGTATGTGTCATGTGTGATATTTCTGTGGGTGAAGGAGGCATGTGTGGTGTGTGTGTGGAGGGATGTCAGATTTCCTCATTTGTCTTTTGGGACAAACATCTTTGGGCTTCTTACCTTTGAGAACACCTGTAACAACTATAGTGACCGTGTTCTGACCCCCATCGCTCCTACTTACAAGTGATGAACAACTTTGGTCTCAGTCCCTTTGTTACTGGACAACAATTAAAAACAGCAAACATGTCAGTAGAACGGCAGAGTCGGAAAGTTCACATAAGAGTTCTTCCCTGAGAGAAATAATGGCACATTATCCCAGCTATATATACTCATGTCTGTGGTATGACACGGTTCCGGAGAGACATAACAAACCCCTTTCAGCCCTGGCACAGAACCAGCAAGAGATCCAAACAAGGTAAATCTCAGTCTAATTTGATGAGACAGCGAGTTGTACTGAGGTTACTTATAGTAACAGAAATGGCTCAAAAAAAGACAGCTGCATTATCAAAAGCCCACCCCAGCAAGGGTGAAGGCAGCTCATGAAAACTGGAAACGTAGGACCCACTGCACACCTTCCAGGCGGCTTTATAATGTAACGGCTGTTCGCAGGCAGCTCCGTTGGCCTGCACTCTTTTCAGGCAGCTCAACTTGCCTGAGACTCTCTCAACAGTCCTCACCCTAATCTAATCTGTACCTTAACTTTCATAAGCTCAGAAGAAGGAGGAGACTGGCACATCTGGTCAGGTTCAGAGACTTCCTCAAACTTTTGAGTTGTTTAGATTCTGAGTTTTAACAGTTCTTTGCAGTATAGAATGTTTCACCTCAGAAGAAATTGCTACACAACAAATGTCCTTGAACTTGAGATCCAGTGGACACAGAGTAGTGGGTATGTGAGCCAAACGCTGGTGTTCTCAAATGCTTAGAAGGGAGCAGTAACAAAGTCACCTGGTTTTTGAGGCTCTGGCTATTCATGTATGACTCTGTATTATAGCTTGTTTAAAAGGCCAGGCTCTAATAAAGCTGCTATTTGTTTCAAAAGACTTGAGTTTTCCTAGGATATTTATGTTAAATGAGGTTCCCCTGCCCTTGGTACCATCCCACATGCATCCTCACAGTGGACTTTTAATACTGACTGTCAACTCCTCAGGGCTACAGTTGCCTAGGAGAGACTTTCTCTGCAAGCATGAGGACCTGCAGTCCAACCTCTAGCATGCATGCACAATGCAAAACATGACTGCACAAGCATGTAAACCCAATGCTGAGGTTAGAAACAGACCTGTCCGAGTATTTGTGGGTCTGTCGGCTAAAGTAGTGAGCTTCATATTTAATGAGAGATCCTATCTCAAGGGAATAAGGTGGAAAGGAAGAAAGGAAGATGCCCAACATCCTTTTCAGGCCTCCGCATGCTCATACATGACTGTGTGTGCAGGCTCTCTCATGTGTATTACCACACATACGCCGCATACTTCAATCATTCGGCAATAGATAGATGACCTGTTACTTCTTTTTTTTTTATAAAAAAAATGCTTTCATTATTTTTAAAATTGTAAACTATTGCAATATTAGTAAATTGATTATAATAAACTATTAATTCTTCATAATACTTAAGTACTTAATGGCCTAAAATGCACAATATTTTAATATTTTCATGCATAAAAGTGTTCTATTTTTATCTTTGTCATGGTGGGAACACAAACATATCCTAAAAATAATTTCCCTGAATAGTAATTTTTCTTAAAAACATTTTCTTTTATCAAGTAGGTGGAGCTCACTTTACAGACTTGTGTGACTGAAGAAGAAAGCCCTGAGCCCTAGAATGGGAGTCTGTTTCCAGGCTTCTCCCCCTGCTCCCCACTGAGATCCTTAACCGTCCCTACAGGAAGCCCAGCCAGGAAGGAAGACCATGCAAAAGGAAAGGCCATTTGCTTCTGTGTGTACAGATGGGGCCTTGACCAGAAGAAGCTTCAGGAGACAACAGGTGAGAAACCTGAAGTACACAGCAGAAACAGGTGTTTTCCTTTTCTGCTCCTGTTACTGAAGAGCACATTTTTTGTTAGAACAAATGTCAGCCAGGAGAGAAACATAAAATGCAAGACTGTGTGCTTGGCTATGTTAAAAAGACATGAGGGAGGCCATGCCACCAGAGAGGTGTGAGCCTCCCCGGCTCCACTGCTCTCCCCTGAAGCCATTTCTGGTCTTTTAAACACTGCAGAAGAAAGGAACTAAAATCCAGGCAGACAATGACAGAGAAGAAACGACAAAGGGAAGCCACCTTTGTAGTCTCTTGGTGCTAGGGAGCTAGGTACTGAGTTCACAGGTATGTGGGAGGTAGAATCAGTAAATAAAATACAGAATATGGCAGAAAACAGACATGAGGAGCTCTGACGTCTTCCTAGTCCATTTGTGATGTTCTATTCCTCCATCTAAGTTATAGATGCATCATTCATGAATTACATACTCCCGAAAGAATATTTAACTTCATCAAGTACAGAAGGCAAGAATGCAAGGGGTTAAGGCAAAGACCGTGCCCCAGTGAGCATTCTCCCTGAAGATGCCAGTCTTTGGCTTTTTTTAACCGGTTATGGGCACTGAAAAGGGAGTGGCAAATGCACACTGTCTCATTTCTAAGAGAACCTTTCAGTACTCACATGAAATTCCCATCGGACATTGTCAAAGATTACACTCATGAAATTTATGCAGAGAACAAGAAGAATTGGGTTCTAGGCTCCTACTTTGCCGAACCTTGACTGGCTGTTTCAAGTGCCAGACACTTACTCTGCCTGCTATCTTGGCAACACTTTTTGCCTACCTTGCCTAGCCTCAAATGTATCACTGAAAAATTTGAATGATAATTCTTTCAGGGTTATTAAAGGGTTAAAGTCACTTAGCTTGGCCCTTCTCATTCAACATTTTCTCAGTAAATAGTTGTTAACATTGTTTGGATCGCTGACTACTGTCTGGGGTTGGCCAAAGCGGTCAGGGAGATGTGGTGACACAGAGTGTCATCTTGAAACAAAGGCATTCACCTTAGCTTCTCACACCTAGGTTTTCCTGTCTCCTTTGTCTCCCTGACTAACTGCCTTCCTGACCTAACTTTCCTCCTCTACAGCTCTAATAAAAGTCCACACCACTTGTTTAGAATGATTGTGAGCACTGAGCACACTGGACACGCACATCCATCACCCTGTGCTCTGTCTAGACTGACTCCAGCCTCACTGACATCTTGTTAAAGTGTGGCCCTGGGCTAGCCTTTCTCTAGACTTTGTCTTTCCTGATTAACATCATGTACCTGTGACCTTGAGTTAGCCTTTCTAGACATCGTAACAAATGTCTGAGGCAGCAGATTAAAGAGGTTTTATTTCATCTCACAGTTTCCGAAGACTTAGTCCATGGTTGTTTGGCCCTTAGGTTGAGCACAACCCTGTAACAGTGCGGATCTGGGATGGAGACCCTTCTTGACCGCACTGTAGGTAGATGGGAAGAAGACAGAACAACAAAGAGGAGCTGGACACAGCTGGGATGCGGCTTCTAAGGGTTCCAGTGCCCTACTTCTTCCAGGTGGGCCCCACTTCCTGCCGTTTGCAGAACTCAAAGTAGTGCAGGTGTGAGGGCCAAGCGTTCGTTTGCACAGGAGCTAATGGGAGACACTGTATCTTCAACCCACCACAACATTTGATTTCCGAAACTGTATTCCTATCTCAAGGAAAGTGTGCCATGCATTTCAAAAGTTTCTGTGGACTGTCTTAAGGCTCAGTGAAGGTTGATGGTAGTGTTGTGTTTTTCTCTGAGGTGCACGTTTTCATCGTTTCAAACTGACTAAGAAGGGAAGTTTGGTTCACACCGTCTTTGAACAAAACCTTTGTACCACATACACTAAATGGTGACATTCTCATGAAGTGAAAAGCCGTTGACAAATATGTGTTCTCATTAACTCTTGTGTCTCAAATTTTACAAACTTTATAAGTAATCTTTTATATTTCAAAACCTGTGACCTTATGTTTTTGGTAAATCCTACCAAAAAAAAAAAAAAGAAGAAGAAGAAGCCAAATGAAAAACAAAGCTTGGCAGACAAAAACAAATCAGAACAGGAAATTGGACAGTGAATAACAGCCTCATAATGGGGAATTTTTGCTGCATATTTTGATCACCTAAGTTAATTTAAACCATTTAAAATGCATTTAAATCTCGGTACAGTGGTTTCTGTGTGCAATCACCAGATTCAGAAAGCTGAGACAAGAGGATAACTACAAGTTCAGGGCCAGTCTAAGTTAATAATAAATTTTAGGCCAGTCAGAGCTACACAGCAAGTTACTATCGGAACAAAGGGCAGGGGAGGCCTGGGAAGATGGCTCAAGCCTGGCAACCTAAGTTCAGATTCCCGGGACCTGCAAAAGCTTGGTGTAGGAGCTGGTGTGTACAACCACAGTAGGAGCCGGTGTGCGCAACCACAGTAGGAGCCGGTGTGTGCAACCACAGTAGGAGCCGGTGTGTACAACCACAGTAGGAGCCGGTGTGCGCAACCACAGTAGGAGCCGGTGTGCGCAACCACAGTGTTCCCAAGGTGAGGTGGGAGGCAGAAACAGGAGAGCCCTCGGAAGCTCACAGGCCAGATAGGTGCAGTACACAACAAGGTGAGAGAGAGACAGAGACAGAGACAGAGACAGAGACAGAGACAGAGTCTGCCTTAGGCAAGCTAGGAGGTGAGGAATGTTACCTGAGATTAACCTCTGACCTCCACACATGTCATATGGTATGTGTGTGCCCTCACATGCTATGGTGTGTGCACTAATTACACACCCACATTCACAACAGTCAATACTTCTAAATGCATGTATGTACACTTGCCCATCTTGTTACCAGTATTTACACTGGCATCTATAATGTTTAGTAATTAAATATCTGTCTCATAGTGAATTCACAGTTATTTTGATTAATATTTCCAAAACCATGTGAAGTTAGGAATATCATTTCCA